TTCCAGAGACTTAGGCAAGTATTTTCTTTCCTTTTTAATTCAATGATTCAAATTTCTAAAAATGACTTAATTTCACTTTTCATTAATTTCTTCCTATGTTCTCATGTTAAAAGCCTTGTTTTTAATATGAAGAGAATGTTTTCAGCTGCAGTTTGACAGTGGCTTATTCAGTTTAACGGTCATCATTCGATATCAACTTAGCATTCCACTTAACATTTTATATATTTTGTAGGAATGTGCCTTTAGGCAGTTACTAAATTAGTTAGGGTCATAGGGAAAGTATTTTACAGTATTTTAGACAATTTAGGTAAAATGAATAAAATTTCTTATCTTTGTTTCTCCAAAATTTTCTTAAAAGGTCATCAATTAAAAAAAACCTGACCGAATATGCATCCAAAATTAAACATTAAAAAAGTGTAGAGCACATGTTGAAAAAAATATTTGATCAGGGAAGATTTCAAGTTCAATCAAGTATCTGAGAGGCTTTTAAATTAGTCTCAGTAGGTAATCACCATACGTAATGTCCGGCATACAGTGTTGTTTTCTATCTCTTATGGGCTGCAGTGAAGTCTCATGTATGTTTTATAGTTTCTATTATTAATCACGCCACAATCTCATTTTAAAGTCAGCATTAAAAATCCCTGCACTTCTACAGGTTAAAAAAAAAGTTTTCTTTTTAAAAACATCTCTGAACTGTATTTTAATTTTTTTTTTGCAATTTTTGGAACTATACATTTTTTGTCCCTAAAAACTTCACCATATTGGAAAAGAAAATGTATTAAATGTATTTTCTACAGTAATATGAGGAAAACATGATCAGTTGTGCCAAAGAAGTTTTATACATTGTTTACATGAAGAAGCTACAATACTTACTGGGGACTTATGTGATATTTTTGTTTACTAATAAAACATTACATTCAAACTTAGTAGCTTTGACATATAGGAAGAATGTTTCTCCTAAAGTAATTTATTTTTTTGAGAGGAGGCAAGAAGTGCTGAACTTATCACAGTCATTCTTTGTGTTAGAAATGTAGGAGTGTGGTGGTTCTCTGCAATCTTTAGAGCTTTACTCTCATAATTTGGAATTTAAGATAATAAATAGTAACAAGGCTAGTCTTATATATAAGATAGTTCAAACAATATCATTTCAGGGACAAAGGACGCCTGGAAGCCCTTAAAATAAGTTATCTTAGATGTACCAGGACTACTCAGAGCTTTATTCTTTTAGCTTAAGGCTTTTTAGTACTTGTAAAAATGCAAACATTCTTGAGAAATGGTACCTTTAATCTCTGAATTCTGAATACCTTATTGTGAGTGAGGTATCCAAAGCAATTTTTACTCAGCATGGGGGATGGAAGTTATAAAAGGAGGGCAGTGGAAATCTTGGGAGGAGGAAGTGAGAAATGGTTAAGGAGGGGAACTTCAAAACTTTTAGGCTGGCCTTAAGCACTATTGCTGCTTTCCTAAAAACTTTCAGAATGTTTTAATGCTTTATCATTCACGGTCCACTCTCAACTTGACATTTTCCTTCAATAACTTTAAAAAATCATTGTTACATTTTTTCCATACATTTTTATAATACAGAACATTAACTCAAGATTCCATAATTAATACAATTTTTCAGATTTGTCTAATGTGTACTGTAACTTGTGCATCTTAACACAGTGCATCTTAAGTGCAGATTTAAACATGACACCTGAGGACCATGACTTCCTCCTTTCTTGGAGCTCTTGGTATAAAATTCATCTGCTAATGTGAATTCAGGTTTCTACTCAGTTCATCTCATACTAATTAGAGAGATAGTTAATGTGTGCATGAGGAAACAACTTATGTCTCAATCTTTAGTTTCATTTGGTAGTGTTTATTGTTCATACACCCTCCCCAAAATAGAATGCTGAATTACATGCTAATATTTCCATGTGTATTTTGTTGCCTTGATGTATTACACTTGTTGCATGTATATTAAACATTTTGTACCATGCATTAATGGTCTTAATTTATCCTTGACAAAAAGTTACTTGATTCAGGTTACACACTGAGTTGATAAATAAGGTAAAAGTATATTACCTAACTAGAGGGAGGCCTGGTGCACGAATTCATGCACAGGGGGTGGGGGGGTTCCTCAGCCTAGCTAGTGATCAGGGCCGATCAGGGCCTTCTCACCCAGGAAGGGACTGTAGGAGGTTGGCCGGCAGCGGGAAGTTGGCTGTGGGAGCACACTGACCACCAGAGGGCAGCTCCTACATTGAGCATCTGCCCCCTGGTGGTCGGTGTGCATCATAGGGACGATCTCTTAGGCTTTTATATACATAGATATCTAAAATATTAGTATCAAAATGGTTTTGGAAGAATCCTTATTTCAACTTATATAAAACTAGAGGCCCAATGCATGAAGATTCATGCAAGAATGGGCCGTCCTTCCCCTGGCTGCTGGTACTGCCTTCACTCTGGCAGGAGCCGCCTTTCCGCCTTCCCATGCTGCCTAGAGGCCTGGAGTGGTTGGGGCCGTGCGGAACGCTTGCGACCTGCCCCCTCGGGGCCTGTGTATGCAAATTAACCCACCTTCTTTGTTGGGTTTGCATACCCACTCCTGATGAAGGTGTGGTCAATTTGCATCTTTCTCTTTTATTAGTGTAGATTGAATACATTTTATTTTTTAAAGAACATGACACCCTTTTGAGTACACACAGCTATGGAGTGGCACAGTACAACAATGGTCCTGGCAGTGTTACTGATAGGATCACATAACTGCCAACGTTTGCTTTCTCAGCTGCCAAATGGAAACCACCATCTTCTCAGCACCTGTCTGAAGGCATCAGGATGATGTCAGCACTAAATGAAATCATACGTGCATGTTTGTAATAGGTAAGTGCCAAAGTCAAGCTAGGGATGATGTCAGCACTAAATGAAATCATATGTTTGTAATAGGTAAGTGCCAAAGTCAAGCTACTAATTATGATTGACAAAACTTTAAGTCAGTTTGTAAGTCATCTTTATTAGATTTACATACAAATTTTCAAGTGGTTAAAAATGTCTCACAGTTACAACTTATGGAAATTCTTTGCAAAGTTCCTATCATTAGGTGAAATCTCCACCTCTGAAATGTCACATGACTGCTTTTGAAAATCAGGGCTCTTAATTTTTTTTTAAGTTAGTTCACTTTGCTCTTCCTCTAAGCAAAGCAGCTTCTACGTAGGTTCAGCATTTGTTCTTTTTAATGGATAGGAAGGGGGAGATAAAATTATGTGTGTCATTAATAGTACCTTTTAAAATCACATTTTAGTCTAAACCAAACTTTAGATTGTTGTAAAATACGTTATCTTATTATATGTCACATTTCCCATACTGTCAGTTATTTTTCTAAAACACAACTAAAATCAAAATTTCACAACACTTGGCCTTACTACATGACACATTCTGGTGTTTTCTGTTCTATGTTCTTTCATTAAAAATAAATGGTCTTGGGGGGAAAAACCAATACCCCAACTCTGTAAGTATTAGAGCTGCACCAAAAATACTGCCTTTGTCTCCTGTTGTCTTTTGTTTCTCCTTTGGCACACAAGCCCTCTGACTACATTCCCAATCTGATCTCCTACCACATCACCATGTATGCCCATTGCTCAAACTGGGACATATCCCATTGCCTGCTTCCAGGTATACTTAATCTGCACCATCTGCCCTAATCCTAGAAGCGTTTCCTGCCCACTCCTCCTTTCCCCCAGGCTGAGTGGAGAATCCATGCATCATAGTTTTCAAATCCACTTGAGGCCAGTGACAGTTTCTGACAGTTTTGTTACCTTTTTTCCATCACCATTTATTCCCTGCACCCTCCTCACCTACTCCCACATCTGAAACATCTTCTCTCCAGTGTTTTTCATACTGCCTATCACATTAAAGGTCTCAATAAGTGTTGAATGACAGATTACATTGTGGAAAAAAGTTCAAAAGTGATAGACTATATTTTCCCACATCCCTGGATTTGTGCCCTGTAAAAAAGGAGGGGAGAATTTAAAGGAGTCATATGTGATTAAGTATAGTGAATAATTTTCCTAGAAATAAAAGGAAAATTAGAATTCTGTACTCTTAAAAAATCAAATGTGTATTATATGAAAAGTAGCAAACATAATACTTGAAGAAGACATTCCTTCTTAAAAATGTACACATAAATTAAATATGTATGTTGGAAAATTTATCATTAATAAAGTGAAAGTTTCCTTTCAGCAACATTACCAAGAACACAATTTCTAGCCAAACTCTTTTTGGTTGCTACTTTTTCTTTTTTTAAAACAAAAGTATTTATGCTTATTTACTACTTAAGTACAGAGAAAGCTGAAGCTTTCGTTTTTCATCCGGATACACTGCATGTAATACGTATTAGAAAAACTACTAGGGAATTATATATAAGTTATTTTAGTCATAAATCATAAGAATTTCCCACAAGTGCAATCAGTATTTATTTATAAGTGATAGTAAGTTGAAATATGTGATTGCTTTTTGAAGCATAGTTCTAAATCTCAATTTTCTGCCTTTTCTACCAATAAGTTATCAAAAAGAAGCATAGCAAAACCAAGGTAAATTTAATACTATTAAACAGCAGTGTTCCAGATAAACATTCTTACACACATTTTATGAAAATATTAGCTAAAGGTACAGTGATAATTTTAACGTAAGCAAAATATTTTAATGAAAGTATAAGTTAAAATAATTATATTTTTATGGGTATTTATGTTGCAAATTTAAGGTAAATCAACACAGGATAAAAACAAAAGGTTACATAGAAATCCCATATAATTTATTTCTGGTAAAACATATGAGCTTTTTTTCTACTATAATACAAATACATTAATTCCTCTGTGAACATCAGAGCTTTAACACCTAAATATATTACCTATTTTAGGGGGGAAATGTTTCACATTTTCATAAAATACACATAGTCTGCAATAAAGTGCTTTTCTTATGTATATCCTAAGAAAATCCAACAAATACTTTAAAAAATATCATTTCTTGTCCTGCCATAATATTTTTATTTCATTCCTATAGTCATAAGGTAAATTTCTTAGGCATTAGCCTATAGTGACCAAAAGCTATTTCTTCAAGAAAATTGTATGTGTAGTCTCTTGTCTAGCATACTAATGTGAGATGCATATCATCAAGGGAAATTCTGGAAATATTTTATAACTGACATTGTATTAATAATATCAAATATAATAGAACAAGCCAATAGAGAGACCTAGAGGACTCCACAGTGACACATGAATTATCACATGGCTGAAACCAGATGACCTTTCTGTGCCAAAACATTATTTTTACTTGTCTACAATGTTGTTTTCCCCTCTACACCCACGCTTGACTTTAGTAAACATTTAATACAATCAGTAAACCACTCTCTGTTGCAGTATCTGTATACAATACAGGATCTTTAATATCAAACTCTCAAGTTCCAAGTGTTAAGGAATAATTGTTTTTTTCTTTATAAAATGCTCAGTGGTTGTGATTTCTGAAATATCTTTTTCACTATCTCAAAAATTAGAAATACACAATTTATTTTAAAATAAGGATTATGATTTAGAGTCAAAGTAGAAATTTCTATTCATTTAAATTATCGGCAAGAAAGATACAAAATAATCGTAAGAAAAAAGAAAGGCTCTTGCCTAAGAGTCTCCATCTTATTTGGCCATGGCTATTTCAAGTTGAAGCAGCATCACTACTGCTGTTTTTGAGTATTTTTTTTCTGGAAAAAAGCCTTTCCAAATTCATATGTACTGATCATGATGGCACAAGCAGGAGCAATTTTAATTAAACGGGGAGTTAGGCCTGCAAAGAGAACAGAAAATATCAGAAAAAATTTTACCTTATTTTAAAATACTTATTGGTTTGGTTTCATTCTGATGATGATCAAATTAAATGAAGTGATACATCAAATTCTGTGCCAAAAACTGGTATTCAAGAACAAGACAAACTTACTCCCAACCTCCTCAATTTAACTCCGTTACTTTACATAGAAATTTTATCTTATTAAGAGTAAATCTATTGTCATTTAACAGTTTTAAATCTATAGAAAAGATGTTTAGGAGGAAATAATAAATGTGAATTACTTTCAACAATTTCAAAAGTAATAATTTTACCCAACGATTTGGTAAAGCAAATATTTTTACCTGTAAATAATCCAGAAAACCCATTCTTAGCAACAATGTTCTTCATGATAGCCCAGGTTGACATAGGCATAGAAACTAAATGTTAAAAAAAAAAAGATAGCATTATGAATTACCCCTTAATTTCAATACAGGTAACACATAAAATAGTGTATGGCCTTTGGGGATATATCATTTCAATATAGTAACAAGTTTGTCTAAAAAGTTATTTTAAATATTATTTGTAATAGTTGGATTCATTAAGAAAAATTAGAAAAAGCCTATAAGTTTAAAGGTATAGAACTAAATGCAATCAAGGGGGAATATATAGAAGACTTCTCCGGAACTGATAGTATTTGTTTCTTAAGCTTTGTAGTAAGTATCCTTTATACTTGCTTCCACGTATTAAAAAGTTTCATAGTGAAAAATTTTAAAGATATATAGAAATATTCATGTGGTTCCCAAAGCCAAAGAGAAGTCCTGATAATCATTTTCATTAAATTTTTATTGCACACATTAAAAAATATTTTTTTTCTAAAAAAAGTTTCTGAGGATAATAGCTCATTCTCCCTAGTAAGGTTCTGCTTTATTAAAATCCTTCTGAATAGATGTGCCATATGAAATAAATTAGGTCAGTCCTATCCTCTCCAAAGGGCAGAACTGTCCTGTAACTAACAGTAACACTTCACTAATTTGCAACCACTGAAATAACTGAAAAATAGAGAAAATTAATTTGTATATTTAAAAAAAATCAGCAAAAATAGATGTCAGTGAGGTTCAAACATAAAGCTTATGAATGAGGCCCTGGCCAGGTAGGTCAGTTGGTTAGAATGTCATCTTGATATATGCTAAGCTTGCAGGTTCGATCCCTGGTCAGGGCACATATAAGCAGCGGCCAACGAATAAATAAGTGCAACAACAGACAGTTGTCTCTCTGTCTCAGTCTTCCTCTCTCTGAATGAATGAATGAATGAATGAATGATGATAGGGGATAGGCAGCTAGAAGGCTTGCACCTAAAACAGCGAAGTGGAGAAGGGACTACACTTTGGTAAGTTAAGGAAAAAGTTGTCATTAATATTAGATTTCTTTTCAGAGGTCTATAATTAATGTTTCTTTTAACATTAGAATACCTATTTTACTTTGTATGCAAAATATTATTCTGGTGGGAAACAATTTATTTAAATTATAATAGACTTATCACAAGGCTTCTATGACATAATTTTGTAATGGATAATTTCCATTGGATTTGCGACACTTTCTACAGATGATATTGACAGAATAGATCTAATGTATGCAACCAAGAGTACACTTTTGTTCTAGAAAAAATTACAGGTTATAAAGTAAAAATAGATGGAATAATAGGTAGAAAAAAACATTTAAAAAGGAAAGCTAAAGGAAACAGGAAAATAATAAAATGTACAGGCATACTAATAAAACACACCAAGAGAAAAAAGGTTTCCCAGTAATTTACTATCCTTCACCTTGACTTGTCCAGATTTATTTGAAAAAAAAACAACAACAAAAAAACAACAAGAACAAACATATAACTTAATCTACATAGAAAAGGTATAAGACTTAACTAATAGCAAGAAAAATACACAAACTTAGATTTCTTAATTTTTTTTCATTTGGGTTTAGAGTATTTTTTCCTGGATATTCCAATCTAAGAGTATATTAGTTTCAGCTAAAGAGTAAAGCAGAGGGGGAAAAAAATCTTATCCCTATTCTAGATATTCCTAACTTAGTATCTGGAAAGAAAAACAAAAATTTTCATGGTATCTTAAAAATGTTTTAAATGAATTAAACTTACTTTTATGACTTTCATACATCCAAAGTTGTGTCTGCTTTTGTGTTTTTACCACATCAAATGGCAAAGTTACAACAGCTGCGAACTATCAAAAAGTAAAATTGATTGATTTAAATCTGCCTTTAAATTTTTCCTAAAATTACATTCTCTTAATTAGCACTCTATTTAATAAGGATAATACTGAAAATTATAACTAAACTAACACATAAAATAAAACCAGATATATTTAAAGAAAAGCTTTTGTTAAAGAAAATATATGTCTTAGGTATTTCTCTGAAAATTTAGGAATAAGTAAAATGTCTCAGAAAAGTTCCCCTACTGCCCTGAGGTCACACAACTTCTAGTGGCAGAGACATAATTCTAACCAGACATCTCTGACTTGAAAACCAGTGTTTGCAATCACCTACATTCCTGTGTTGCATTATTCCTTTACCATACCTGAAGGTATAATACCTATTTTAAAGCAGAAATTCTCAAATATCTAGCAAGCATTTAAAATTTTCTAACAAATGTTTAAAAAACATAATAAAAAATTAAAGAAAATGGACTTTGAACTTTTAGTTCTATATACCTATATATGTAGTTCATCTCAAAATGAACCAACTTAACAATTATTTTCACAATGACCTAATTAAGGAAAGTTTTTTTAAAAGAATAATTAAATGCTCTTAAGAATGTCTTATAATATCTATGATAAAAGTGTAATATGCTATTTAGACTGGTTGTCCTTCCGGACGAAGCAGGGGCTGCGAGGCAAGCCCAGGTCGCAGGTGCCAAAGGGAAGTCAGTGCCAGCAGCCAGGGGAAGGAAGGCCTACTCTTGCATGAATTTCATCCATCAGGCCTCTAGTCCTATATAATAAAAGGGAAACATGTAAATTGACCAGCCCTTCACTATGCTCACCAGCCAATCAGGAGTGAATATACAAATTAAACCAACAAAGATGGCAGGTTAATTTGCATACACAGGCACCAGGCGGAGAGCAGAGCGGGAGAGCCGGAGGCTTGGGGGGATGTGGCAGAGTGAGAGGCCGTGGGATGGAAACAGAGCAGGAAGGGAAAACCTAGAGCACAGGGAGCACCAGAAATGCTGGGAATCATAGTTCTTGTGGCAGCCCCAGGACTGGAAGCGGAAGCCCAGAGCGCAGGGAGCACCAGAAATGCTGGGAATCGTAGTACTGGTGGCAGACGGATCTCATAGACCAGTGATGGTGAACTTATGACACATGTGTAAGAGGTGACATGCGAACTCAGTTTTTTGGTTGATTTTTCTTTGTTAAATGGCATTTAAATATATAAAATAAATATCAAAAATATAAGTCTTTGTTTTATTATGGTTGCAAATATCAAAAGATTTCTATATGTGACACGACACCAGAGTTAAGTTAGGGTTTTTCAAAATGCTGACACGCCGAGCTCAAAAGGTTCACCATCACTGGCTAGTCACTGCCCACTCTTAATTATCTGGTCTTGTAAGCTGCTCTGCCGGCGTGGGAGTCTGGTCCGTCCTTGGTACCTCCCATGCCTGGTGTCTTCTGGTTATCTGAGCTGTGCTCAAGGCTGCAAGCTTTCTGATATCTGCTAAGCACACTGCCCCCATCCCAGCACACGGGGTTATGTTTGCCTTTATAAGCTAACCCCTGAGTTCAATCGCAACCCGGAGGCTTGGATTGCCCCCAGGATGGAGGAAGCCAAGCTTCCCGCTTGCCTTGCCTGCTCTGAGCTCCACTCAAGGTTACAAAGTTTCAATTATAGAAGATAAATAAATCCCAGATAGCTGCTTCCAGCCAGCCTCCACTGGGAGCTTGGGTGGCTGGGGGCAGTGGCCAGCCTTCAAACAGCCATCAGCCCCTCACCCAGGCAGGCCAGGCACCCCAATGGGGACCCCCACCCTGAAGGGGCTGTGGCTAACCTGCAAACAGACATCAGTCCTTCACCCAGACTGGCCAGGAACCCAGGCGGAGACCCCCACTCTGAAGGGTCTATGGTTAGCCTGAAAACAGCCATCAGCTCCTCACCCAGGTTGGCCAGGCACCCCAGCAGGACCCCCCCTCCCTAAAGGGGATGTGGCCAGTCTGAAAATGGCCCTCAGCCCCTCACCCAGGCTGTCCAGGCACCCCAGCGGGACCCCCACCCTGATCCGGGACACCTTTCAGGGCTCACCAGCTGGCCCCCACCTGTGCACCAGGCCTCTATCCTATATAATAAAAGGGTAATATGCAAATTGACCGCAACAGCAGAATGACTGGGAATGACTGGTCACTATGACACACACTGACCACCAGGGGGCAGATGCTCAATGCAGGAGCTGCCCCCTGGTGGTCAGTGTGCTCCCACAGGGAGGTCTGCTCAGCCACAAGCCAGGCTGACAGTGGTAGGAGCCTCTCCTGCCTCCTCAGCAGCGCTAAGGAAGTCCGACTGCAGCTTAGGCCTGCTCCCTGCGGCAAGTGGACATCCCCCGAGGGCTCCTGGGCTGCTAGAGAGATGTCTGATGGCCAGCTTAGGCCAAATACCCCGGGCGTGGGCCTATGCCAGCAGGTGGACATCCCCCGAGGGGTCCCAGTCTGCCGGGCTGAGGGACGCCCCTGAGTGCACAACTTTTTGTGCACTGGGTCTCTAGTTTGATATAAAAGGCATGTACAGTAAATAAACCTGATCTTTTATTTTATTTGGCTTCTGGACTCACATTTGATCAATATACTCATAAAATGACCCTTAAAATCATTTATATTTCACCTGAAAAATGTTGACTTAAATTCTTGAAATGAAATCAGGTTCAAAGATCTCTCAATTATTGTGTCTCCACTTACACAATCTAGCATGTAGTAGGAAAAAAATAGCAATGATGTTATATTTGTTAAATCACTTTTTGACACTTTCTAAAATGATGTGGTTTTCTGTTTTCTGACAGGAAGCCCTGACATTGTCCACTGACATACTTTTTTTTTTTTTAAATCCTCACATGAAGATAAGTTTTTACTGATTGTAGAGAGAGAGCAAGGGAGAGAGAAACATTGATGTCAGAGAGAAACACTGATCAGTTGCCTCCCACATATGCCCCAATTGTGGATCAAAACCACACCTAGGTAAGTGCCCTGACCAGAAACCGAACCCACAACCTTTTGGTGTACCAAACAAAGCTCCAACCAACTGAGCTACCCAGGGCCACTGACATAATTTTTCTGTTGCAAAGACAAATTTTTATTTGAAAACAGTCAAAAGGCAGCAATATTTTCTAGATTAAAATTTTTTAATACATTTTTTATGTTAAACAGAATAGTAAAATAAAACAACTTTTCTTCATATTACTGGAAAACTGGAAAAACATGCTAAAGCCATTACTACACTTTTTTTTAGATAGTAAGCATTTATTTGTAAAGTTAATTGATGCCATTCCAAGTGTTAGAAATTCTAAAAATAAACAGTACTTGTTTTTCCTCAGAATGGATTAAGATATAAATTAAATACAATTAAGTGACATTTAATCACCTCACAAATAAGAGGGATAATGAAAAGAGTTTGCTGGCATCAGAACTATTTAATTGCTAAAAAAAAGTAATTTTATAGGCTTAGAACCCACTAGCCTTAGTTTGATAAATCTCAGACCTGGGTATATTCAGAGCTGAATTTTGAACTCAGTCATAGTAGCTTTCTTAGCCTAGGTTTTTGATACAATTATTCCAATATTTTCTTGCAGGTCTCCATCAGTGAGCTTCTTCACTCTAGTTTTCATTCGGTTCCAATATGTCAGCACCTCACTCTAAGTCATCACAAATTCATTTTGTAAGTATGTGGATACAAGAAAAGTCTTTGTGGCCAAGATCATAGTGATATGAATCTGCAAAAAGTCTACTATATGACTTTTCATTATGGAGATGGGTGGGAAAAGGTGAACTCTCTACTACCCCAAAAATGGTCATTTGAGATTCCTCCCTCCCAATTGTATAATTCTTTTGTTAAATTTGTTAAAATTCTTTTTAAAAGTACTTAGCCAGCCTGGGCCAGGGAGCTCTGCTGGTTGGAGCGCTGTCCTGATATGCCAAGGTTGCAGGTTCAATTCCCAATTAGGGCACATACAAGAACCAACCAATGAATGCATAAGTAAGGGAACAAATCAATGTTTCTATCTCAAATCAATTTAAAAAGTTGTTAATATGTTCCCAAAGAAATAAATTAGCAGAAGAGAATGACATTACATTTATTCAATTCTATTATACAAATGAGATGACACTCCATTAAATATTACCTAACTAGGCATTTAATGAACAAATTGCAAAATACCTTGTAATAACAAAACATTATTTAAACTACTATAATTATAACTGTAGTTATCAAACAAGTCCAAAAGTTGTTGAGAATATAATAATGTATATATAATAAAAGCATAGATACAAAGTGCATTTTAAAATATTTGAATGGCTAGTAACTTATTCCCTCAAAATAGGATAATAAATACTAAGAAAAATTTTAAAGCAGTGCAGCTCAAAAGTGCTATCTCAATAGACATGAAATGCTATGTAATATTTTGTTCTGTTTTAATAAGATAATTATCATTCTGACATATTAACAACAAAGAGTAAACTTACAGAACCAGACAATGCTCCTGAAGTAAAGTTGATCATAAATGTGGGTTCATATAAACCAGATTTCTCACACAACCACTTCTTTAAAAGTTCATAGTTATACCAGTACATTGCTATAAAAACAGAATGAAATGAATGCATAGTTAGGAATGTAATGCGGACCTTAGAGAAAATATGTGAGGTTATCTATTAAAGGAAAAGACATTATAACCTTGACATATCTTGTTTTCTGTTTAAATACATACTAGATAAGATTTTTTAAAAAGAAACCAAATTCTCAATAATATTATAGCAGTCTAATAAACAAAAACTCTATGCATCAGTGAAATAGGACTTTAATTCCAAAATCCAACAAAGACAGTAGCAGAAAGGTAAAGTACAAGCCAATCTTATTCATGAACATAGGTATACAACCCTACAGAAATTAAATAATAAAAAGCAACTGAAGCCAGAGGTATTTCATGAAAGATCATATACTATGCCTAAATTGGGTTATCTGAGGAATGCAAAGGTACAAATAAAACAAACCCTTTAGATGCCACATACCATTTGACAGAACCATGGGACCACTTCTATTTAAAGCAAACAAAGAAATTTCTTGGAAAACTAGGGTTAAAAGAGTTCTTTAACTTGATAAAGGGTATGCATCAAGAACTTATACCAAAACTAATTATTAATGGTGAAACAAGAGAACTATTTCCTTTAGAACAAGGAAATGATAAGGATGCAACATTATCATTGCTACTATTCAAAACTTTACTAGGCAGTCCATAAGATAGAAGAAAAAAAAAAAGCTATAATGATTAAAAGTGAAGAAACAAAGTAGCTATAATTTACATATTATTATCTACATAGAAAACCCAGAAGATATGAAGATAAATTAGAATTATAACAGGTTTAAAAGTAGCTAACCATAAGCTAGTAGAGAAAATCTACTGTTACACTGCCTCAGGCACAAAGGGATTTAGGAACTTTTTTAAAAATAATAGATTTTTTTAAAAAATATATTTTTATTGATTTCAGAGAGGAAGGTAGGTGAGAGAGAGAGAAAAAAAAAACGATGAGAGAGAATCATTGATTCGCTGCCTCCTGCAGGCCTCCTACTGGGGACTTTATAACCTTTATAAAGAAAATTTTAAATCTCTGCTAAAACACTTTTAAAAAGAGTTCTATAATAAAGAGATAAGATATGACCCTCTTAGGGGGAAAAATAAGGTAATATCAATTGTTCTTTTATAATGCACTAGTAATTTAGACAGTACTATAGTATTAGCACAGGGTTACGCAAACTGGCCAGTGAAAGCTTGGTATGTCAGAGGTGATACTGCAGATCACTGCAGAAAGTATAATTCAACATTCAGTAAATGTTGCTGGGGTAACTATCTACCCACTTGCAGGGGAAACAAATACTTATTCACTCCATAACCCAAATCAATTATGGATACATGAATGGCCAATGAAATAGTGTCCAACCTCAGCAATAATCAAAAAAATGTAAGTTAAAGTGAGATCACTTTAAATTAGTAGATAAACAAAAATTAAGAACTGCAACAATAAAAGTGCTGGGGAGGGTAATTTGTCCTCTTAATTTTACTCTTGTTTATGTGTAAGTAAGCAAGTAAACAGTGCTGCTGTGAACAGTCTCTTGGTGTACAAGAATTTCTCCAGTATTAAATGTGCTGGTTCACATAAATATATATATTTAAAATTTCATTTGGTAATATCCAATTCTTTTAAAAATTACAATGTTCTAATTCATATATTGAAGTGGTGACTTCATAAGTAGACTTCATTTTATTAGTAGACTTTATATTTTACTAGAGGCCTGGTGCATGAATTTGTGCACAGGTAGGGTCCCTAGGCCTGGCAAGCAATCAGGGCCAATCTGTTGGGCAACTGGCAGGGTGATCAGGGGACCCCCACTGGCACTCACCTTGGCTGGCCTGGGACCTGCCAGCTGGAGGCAGCTCAGGCATTGAGTGTCTGCCCCCAGGTGGTCAGTGCACATCAGAGCGACCAGTCGTTTTGCCACTCGGTCAATTTGCATATTAGCCTTTTATTATATATGATGATATCTATGTTACCTTTCTTGTGTCAATTATATAATACAAAAATTAAAAATAGGAATTGGCTTAGGAATCTATGATTAATGACACACTGTATGTTTCTAAACAGCATAACAACTGATCACAAAATGTTGGAGAAAAATACTAATGAAAAGGGAAAGATGTATAGAGATATGAATAAAAGAACCAAAGAAAAGGATTAACATAAGAGAAAAAAAGAAAACAGAACATTAATATAAAGGTTCTTAATAATTATTTCTTTTAGGTCTTAAAGGAAAACTCCAATGATACACAAGAGAAATGATACTGAACTATACACATTCTCCAAGTTAACTTTAAACGTCTTTTTCATGATTTTCACCCTTTTCATAATTCAATAATTAGCACAATCTTCTATCAGATTTATAACAGTCTTATTTACAGGACACTCATTTAATGGGGAAGGTTTTTATCTTGATAATTGAAAAAAGTAGGAGTCAATATTATTCATAGGCAATCTTAAATGTATTTTGTGATATTTTTATTTATAGTTTACTTACCTTGCTCAATATAACTTACTAAGAATAAGTTAAAGATAGTTTGTATTATCTAAATATAAATAAATACCAATTAATGTTGAAAAAGAAATTAAACACAAGAAAATAAAACCAGGTTTAAATTAGAAACTATTCCTATCTAATAAAGAGGGAATATGCTAATTGACCCTCATGCTGTTGCAAAGATGGTGGCACCCATAACCAATAAGGAGAGAATATGCTAATTGACCGCCCTGCCCTCAAAATGGCAGCACCCACAACCAATAAGGAGGGAATATGCTAATTGACTGCCATGCCGTCAAAGATGGTGGCGCTCACAGCCACAAGATAGCAGTGCCCAGTCCCCTCAGCCCCGCTGGGGCGGCAGATGTGTGGCAAAGCCAGCCCTCCTGCCTCCAGAGTCCCCCAGTCCCCTCAGCCCCCCAGCTTCCCAGGGCTGGCCTGAGGCGCAGGCAAGCCTCAGATGGTGGCTGCCCAGCTGCCCAGGGCCACTCAAGGCGCAGGTAATCAGGGCCGGCTAATGCTTGTGCTATCAGCAGTGGCAGCAGCAGAGGTGTGATGGGGCGTCTCCTTCTCCTGATCTCCGGGTCGCCTCCCGCCCCTGAGGGTTCCCAGACTGTGAGAGAGGGCAGGCCAGGCTGAGGGGACCCCCCCCCTCCAGTGCATGAATTTTCATGCACGAGGCCTCTAGTTTATTCAAGGAAGACTCATAAAGCTTTGAGAGCCCAACACTGATATAGGAGTTTTGGTTACTAAAGAAGAGAGCTCACACTTAGCCTTAAGGGATTTAAAATATAGTTGATTTTAAAATAATATATAAAAAGACAAAGCTAATTAAAATTTAGCAGATATTAATAAGATAAATCCTACCTGAGAATGGTACATCTCTAAGAAGAGTAGGAGTCCAGCCAGTCCAAAGGGAAATCCAACCATCTTTGGACACTTTCTTGCTGACAAATTGATGCAGCTCCTTGTAAGAAAACCTCTTAGATTGCATCTTGGTTCTTATCAATTCTAAGGGACTTATTACAGTTACTGCACCAACTAATACAAACAAGCAAATATTAAAAAACAAAACCAGAGCCATATACTATGCAAATACACATGCAAAATTAGTACTTCATGCATTTTATATTTTAAACTTCTATTTTGAAAAGTCTGCAAACCTTAACATCAAATATCTAATGCCAACATACTGGCGCAGATTTATTTTCCTTGATAAAGGTCTTTCTTAAAAGTCTGTTTTCAGCCCTAGCTAGTTTGCTCACTGGTTACAGCATCGGCCCTTCAACTGAAGGGTCTCAGGTTTGATTCTGGTCAGAGTTATGCGACTAAACCTAAAATCTAGAATCTAGTCTAAAACCTAAATTCATTCTAATATCTCTGATCGAGATTCAACAGGAATGGGTTGATCCTATTTCATTCTGATAGCAATTACATGCCATATGCCTTCTAGAGTATTAACAAATCAATAAAAACTACAAATGCAAAATATATATTATCAATACTCTGAATTTCGTACAAATTCTCTGTGAATGTCAAAATTGTAAAAGATTCTTTGAGCAGAAATAAAAATAAAAATATAATAAAGGTATTACTTACATCTGGCCACAATTCCAGCAACAATTGGTATATGGCTTTCATTTTCTCCTAATTTAGATTTCAGGAGAGCAGTTAATTGATCATAGCAGGTAAAATAGATAACTGTAGCAGGAACTGCCATTACTCTGTTAGAAACACACAAACAAAAAATTTACATAAAATTATCAAATTTTTAAATATAAAGCTAAATTCCTCATATTTTGTACAAGCTAAAACTCATAATGAATCAGCCCATGAGATCAATTTTTCTTTTATTTTAAATATTATTAACTTATTAGGTTTTTAAAATAGGTATCTGCCCTCCAGAAGTTTACATTCTAGTTGTGAAATAAGTTAAGTACCAGTCAGATCATAAATAGTAAAAGATAAATGAGGACACTTCTCTGTCTCCTAGTCTTGTTCTATCTGCTTCTGGTCTCCCAAATCTTCCCTCCCAATTATATTTACCATAACATAAAAATCACTGAAGTAAAAAGTACAAGAGCAATTGTAAACTATTTTTGAAATATGGACCATATTCCATACCGCCTTACAAAACTGGAAATAAATTACCACTAATGATGCCATGCTAATATATACTACTACTGAGGAATTTCTGACAACATTCTTTTAAATGAAAATATCAAAAGGGAATTATTAATTAAATTAAATACAGTTGCAGACACTGTCATGTCATAAATGTTAATGCAACAAGAAACCTTTCTATGTTAATAGACTAGCTAAAGTACAATCACAGACCAAATTTTAGAATGCCTAATGTTCTAAAATGAAGTTTGATGATGAGAATTTAGAAATACAATTAACTGTTGGATCTAACCACTAACTTTATAACCTTAGGCAGTTAAAATATATGCCTCTAAGTTAACTACCAAAAAATAAATTAGAAAGAAATGAGGTATATAAAGGCAAGTTATTAGTTGGGATTTTTAATTTGGCCTTACTAGTTTATCACATTAATTCATATAATAGCTTGTTAAAAAATTAAAATTATCTGGAAAAGGAAAAGTATACTTATCACAGTAACTCCTTATTTTAGTAAAAAAAAAAAAACACAGTCAAACACCAAATTCTTAATTTCTGAACATGAAAAAAAGTTATGCTTTTGCACCACAGACAACACAACAAGCCTGGTTGCTCAAATCTTCTATACGTTCAGGAAGGCATTATTTGTATGCTTGACCTTTGGCCAACTTCAAGAAATGTAGCCCTTGGAATATTCCCCATTATAAGGTTTTTCTGTATACCTGGAGCATTATTTCAACTTGTCTGGACTGATTTATACAAATGATATGATTTTTGGTAAACATCTGCTTTCCTTTTAGGGGTCTGAAGTTTTGGTAATCAGAGTTGTTCACAAACACAGAATATGCCTGTGTGAGCAACCTGTAAAAGCCCTAGGAAACGCTTTACACAGGCTGCTGTAGTTCAATGCTGAAAGAATAAGCACACAAATCACACTCCTCCCGCTCAAAACAAAACAAAAATAGAAAAGAAAAAAAAGCAGCAGCACATCCTGTGCAGTGTCGTGAGGGAGGACTTTGGAGCCTATTGCCTGGTCAACTTCTTTTGTGTCTTTTTCCTTTACTAAACCATAGTCGGGAGTATAACCTTCATTAGGTCCTGTGAGTCCTTCCAGCAAATCATAAATGTGTCGGTGGTTGTGGGACTCACAACACAATGTTTTAAAATATGAAAAAGTTCTAGTATTAAAAATGCACAGTTTTTTAAATCATGCTGTAATGCAAACAACACTATCATTTAGTAAAAGAAAATATTAAATTTCAACTTACAAGGTGGGGGGAAGGCCACTCCACAGAGATTTAACGCCCTCATTTCGAATGATTTTCAAAAATGCATCCTAAAATCATAATAGAGAAAAGTAGTCAAAATATATTCCTGAACCTGATATATAAAAAGTTTATAATAATAATTGGTAATTTGATTCTCTCAAGTGTTTATTTCTAAAACAAGTTTCTCAGATGTATGTATGGCCAATCTTTTTTTTCCCCCCTAAGGAATTGTCCTTAACTTTCAAACACAAGTAAAGGATTCTGGAGGATACTTTCAGCTTACAGAATAAAGTCTGTATTACTCAGCTTTGGATTGTTCTCATTAGCTCTAAGAAACCAAGTTTTTCAAAAATTATTATAAAAAGAAAGTGGAATAATGGCAGAGAATTTGTCAGATTAATTCTGCTTGCCAATTATGAAATTTGAGAAAATGTCATTTAAATCCAGTATTTCAAATCTCTGGAGAGGAACCAAAACCAGGCAAAAACTAAAGGGAAATCTGCTGTTAAAGGACAAAGTGCAAGGAGTGAGATTTGCAAATCTGCAGCTTTTTTTGCCTATGGAAGTGGCAAAAAATCCACAGCACAGTTAGCTGGTTGAGATGGCAAGTACAGAGTCCAGGCTGGAAGAATAATCAGACAGCTAGGGGGAAATCCTGGAAAGGAAGCCACTACCAAAGGCGTAAGCCCCCAATGTGCATGCAGTAGCAGCCACAAAACTTGGCGCTCTACTAAATTTTATGCAATCCCAGAGGAAGCCCACAGGGTCCTACAGTCCACCAGAGGGAAGCACGAGTTTAAGTTAGAATCCAGCCAAAGTTTAACTGCCTTCTAGAACAAAACTAACTCTTCAAAAGTATACAGAAGAATTCAGAGTTTTTATAATAATCATTCGCAATAACCATTATCCAATCAAAATTCAGTAAACAAAAAGAAACAAGAAAATGTGCTCATACTAAAAAAAAAGTCCTGAGTAGAAACCAACAAGCATGATTCAGATGAAACAATTGGCAGCTATTATAAACATGTTCAAGAATTTAAACATGATGTATGCATAATGAATGAACAAATTTGGAATTTCAAAAAAAGTTACTATAAAAAAACAGCCAAATGAAAACTCTACATCTAAAGTGAAAAATCTACTAAGTGGGCTTCATAGCAGAGAGAAACAGCAAAGAGCAAGTCAATGGATTTAAACCTGAAGGGAAATACAGGATAGGCAAAGTATATGTACAGTGGTGAGTATGAAAAACACAGAGTTTATTCTTATATTGCTATTTATTTATTACTGTATTATTTTCCACATGAACAACTGTAAACCTATAAAGTAGTATAACAACCTTATTTCAAGTCATAGATGAAAGAAGAGAGAATGGGTACAGGAAAAAAGTTAAGCCAGAATTCTATATGCAGCAAAAATATGCTTGAAAAAATGCTCAATAAGTACATTTGAGATGAACAAAAACTGAAATACTCTGACAAAATAACTTTAATAAAGAATGCTGAAAGAAGTTCTTCAGAATGAAGTGTTCACAGAGAAAAACAATGAGTAGTTTTTTATATTTACTTTCACAACAAAATCTGTGAATGAATGTATGTAGCAGCTTTATTCAAAATAGCTAAAAATTGGAAACAACTCAATATTTATTATCAAGGAATAGTATAAAAAGGAACAAACTATTGAAACATGCAACAATGTGAATGAATCTCTACATAATTATGCTAAGTGAAAAGTGCCAATCCCAAAATATTATATATGTTATGAACCTATTTAAATAATATTGTTGAAATTACAAAATTATATAAATGGAGAACAGACTAATGGTTGCCAGGAGTTCAGAGCAGGTGAAAGCACAAATGGGTATGACTATAAAAGGGCAAAAGAAGGATCCCGGTGGGGATGGAATTGTTCTGTATCTTAACTGTATCAATGCCAATATCCTGGTTGTGGTATTATACTTGTTTTGTAAGATGTTACTATTAGAGGAAACTGGAAAAAGGGTACTTGGAATCCATCCATGTATTTTTCTTAAAACTGCATATGATCTATAATGATCTCAAAATAAAGATTATTTTTTAATTTTAAAAAATTTACACCCCCCTTTTGTTCTACATAAAAAAGCATGAACAGCCCTGGCTGGGTAGGTTCAGTGTTAGAGCAATGGCATGTGGACTGAAGGGTTATGGGTTCAATTCTAGTCAAGGGCACATACCTCAGGCTGCAGGCTTGATTCCCAGTCTCTCCTCTTCGGGAGGCAACTAACTGATGTGTCTCTCTCACATTGATGTTTCTCTCTCTCTCTGTCTCTCCCCCTCCTTCCACACTCTCTGAAAAGAATCAATGGGAAAAATACCGTCCAGTGAGGATTAACAAAACGTTTGTGGCCCTAGCCGGTTTGGCTCAGTGGATAAAGTGTCGACCTGCGTCAAGGGTCCCAGGTTCAATTCCGGTCAAGGGCATATGCCCAGGTTGCGGGCTCGGTCCCCAGTGGGGAGCATGCAGGAGGCAGCCAATCAATGATTCTCTCTCATCATTGATGTTTCTATCTCTCTCTCCCTCTTCCTTCCTCCCTGAAATTAATACAAATATATTTTTTTAAAAAAAGTTTGTGTGTGTGTGTGTGTGTGTGTTTAAAAGCATGAAAAGAAAGTTAAAGTGTTAAAAGCAAAGAAGTACTTTCTCTTTCTTGCTTAAATATCCACTTTTTATCTGTGGATAAATTTGCTAAGTATATAAAATTTTACTGTCTTGTAATTTGAAAGATCTTTCACTCACAAGATTAAATATAAAAATAGAAAATATACTGTGATTATACATAATATAATCTCCTTACTAATGTTCCCCGGAAATATCCTGGCTTCTTATACCATGCTTTGTTGCCTTCCTCTTCACAGATACAGAGATGATCCATAAGTCCATTATTATATACAAAACATTTTCCTAACAAAGAAGATTACAACAGTCAACAATTATGTCATACAATGTATTATTTTTATTGATGAAAAAATTGAAATTACAATGAGGGGACTAGAAAATTTTAAGAAAATATATAATCTTATCCTTACCTTTTGGGATGAAATAAACATAATTTGTTTTGCTTAATGAAACAGCACTGAGATCTAAATTCACATTGGTTAAAAAAGTGAGCAAATGTTATGTTTTTAGAAGTGCAGTAAGCAAATGCAAACAGAAATAAATATTTTTTTTTGTTATATGGGGGGATGGAGAGAAAAGATAAAGGAGGAAAACCTGTTTTGATATGAGAATATGAGTGTACGTCTTCTCTATTTGACAAGGAAACTCTGCAGTATGAAAGGGAAATGCGGACAAAAATATATTATGAAATCTAATGTATATCTGAATGCTGCTAAGAGAGTAGATCTTTAAAGTTCTCCTGACGAGAAAAGCAAATTTGTGAAGTAATGGATGTTAACTAAACTTACTGTGGTGATCATTTTGCCATGTATACATATATATTAAATCATTATGTTGCATACCTAAAACTAATACAGTGTTATTTGTCAAATATATCTCAAATAAAAATCATCCTCTTACCTAATTAGTATAGGTTTATAAAAGTGTTATATATACACTAGAGGCCCCGGTGCACAAAATTTGTGCACGAGTAGGGTCCCTAGGCCTGGGGATCAGGGTCTATCTGTGGGGCAAATGGTGGGGCAATTGGGTGGGGGGTGAGGGGGACTGCACTAGCACCTGCCTTGGCTGGCTGGGGACAGCTCCTCTGTTGAGCATCTACCCCCTGGTGGTGAGTGTGCATCATAGCAACCAGTCATTCTGCCGGTCATTCTGCTGTTCAGTCGATTTGCATATTGGGCTTTTATTATATAGGATTTGTTTTCTGCCTAGATCTCATCATGTACAATTAGGTGATGAAAACCTGCTTCTGCATTATGGTAAATTTTTTTAATTGACAAAAAAAGATTAATGCAGTAACACTTAAAAGATTTTTAAGTGTTACTGCATTCAAAAATGAATGCAGTAACACTTAAAAATCTAACATAAACTTCCAGTACATAACTAGTACATACCTTTGTAAAATTGGTTGCTTTGGGCTTGCAGTCGAATTTTAACAACATCCAGGGGTGTCACTATGAAGATATGTAAGTTTCAATTAACAAGAGACACATGTAAATTTAGAAATGTTTGTCCAAAGAACACAAAATACAGGATGGGGCAAAAGTAGGTTTACAGTTGTGCATATGTATTATTTTTTATTAATTATTGTATTATTTCTATATAAACAACTATAAGCCTAGTTTTGCCCCAACTTGTGTATTGAACCATACTTTTCCTCATGACTATATAATGGGTAAGATTATTTATCTTAAAGTGATTTTGAATGTAACGTTCTAATTTTTACCCTTGAATTTTGTTTGAAGAGGATCAATGAGAAGACGATGTAATTACTTCTGCTACAAATATTAAAATGTCACTTAAAATTTTTCTACAACTATAATTCCATTAACATTAAAACTAAAAGACTAGTCCCAAAGTCTATTAAATATGGAGAATAACTGTATTATAAGTAATCAATAATCAAACAATACTAGTCTTCCTAATCTATTAAATTTACTTGTATCAAATGAAAACTATAGTTAATGTAAATTTGAGTAAACTAGTCATACAGCATCTTTACCAACAGGTTGTGTTATTCCATTTCGGAACAGCACAGTAAAGGAGAATGGTTTTAACTTGCATGCTCTATTTGGCCCAAGCAGAAAAAATGCCAAATAACGGTACCAAAGAAAACTTTCTGACCTGAAGTAACATATTACCATCCTAAAGCAATTAGTTTGTTCTAGTTATCTGCTATGTTATTTAAATAAACCAGCCAAGTTAAAATCATTCTTAAACTGTCACCTAACTATGTCATTTGGCTGTGTCTACAAGAAATAAAACCCCACAGAAAAATATGGTCCAGAGAAATTTAAGAAATTCACCATTAATATAAGAAAAGTTAAACAATTTGTATTTATTGCTATTGTAAATTGTCCAAATTCTGTATTATTCATTATGCTGATGTTTTATTTCATCTTCTTGCTATTTTAAAAAAGGATAAAAGTCAGAAAATTTTAATACTAATAGGGACCATAGAAAACTCCTAAGATAAGCTCCTAATTTACAGATGAAAAATAAAGCACAAGAGAAGTAGAGACAATCCCAAAGTACATTCACCCTGAGAATGACAAAGCAAGGACTAAAATTCAAGTCTCTTGATATTTTGTCCTGGATTCTTTTCATGTTATGCTGATGAAGGGATACTGTTATTTATGAAGGATGAATAATAATATTAGCATCATTCCACAGATAGTAAAACTCAAATGAATTGATTCATCTAGTTACATAATCTACATCAGTAACATTATTTTACCCATTAGTGATGTCAGTATGGCCCCAGTACAAGAGGCAATAATCTGTTGAAAAGGTGTCACATTGCAAATCTGTGGTCTCTCTCCTTCAGGATCCATATTTTTAATTAATTGAAGAAAAATCTGTTAAAGAAAAGCAAGATGTAAGATAAAAGTTTAATGGAAAATGCCCTTAAAATTCATTGCTATAAATTTAAAAAACTATAAAAACAATAATCAGCATTAATGTCAAAGCACATTGTGACAACTATCTAAAGTAAATGTGTAAGTTCTATACACAAAGGCATTACACAACTGTCATTAATAGAACATGTTCTCTGATTTTTCAAAAAGGGTAAGTACTTCAGCTAAGCCCAGTGAGCAGCATCGCACTTGCAAGACAATTAATAAAGCATTAAGAAAACAGACTCTATGTAACAGAATGAAAGCACCCGATCAACAAGACTCAGAATCTGTGAATTTAGCCTCTTAAGAACTACTCAGATACTCTAATATGGCAGAGTTATCAGCAAATATAACCCGATTTTTACTGCATACCAAAAGTTGTTACAAAGGTATAAAATAAAAATACATAACCTCCATAAGAAGCATTTTAGAAAAATTTGATGAGGAAAGCAAAATATACTTTCTAAAAACAAAGTTACAAAAAAAGCATTAAAAAAAGCATAAAAATCACTTATAAACTTGCTACTCAAAAATAACAACTGGCAAAATATAGGTGTCATCTCTCCAAATGTCATGTACACACAAACACATATATAAATATACAAATGTTGCATGTAAATTTATATACAGGGTGGGGCGAAAGTAGATTTACTGTTGTTTTTACATGAAGCAGAGTTTATTCTTATATTATTGTTTTATTATTTTCCAAGCAAACAACTGTAAACCCACTTTTGCCCCACCCTATATGTATATGTAGATATTATCTGCAGGTGCAGATTACATTTAATTAAACATGATTAAATATTTGTATATCTGTGTACATACTTTTTAAAAACAAAATAGGTTACTACTATTGTATGTAAATTGTAATTGAAAAATAAAATAAACAAGGTAAGTTACTACTATTCACGTTGTTTAGTAGACCACTTTGACACTTTAAAAAATATAGACAGTGTCAATAAATATAGATCTACATTATCATTTTTAATGCTTGAAGTTTTTAATTTCATTAATCAGTCTCATATTGTTAGATATTAAGGTTACTGTCAATTTTTCAATGGTGAATATGTTCTACCATTCAGTGGGCTGCTTTTCATTTTGTTGATGTTTTTCTTTGCTGTACAAAAACTTTTAAGTTTGATGTAGTCCTATTTGCTTATTTTTGCTTTTATTTCCCTTGCCTCAGGAGGCATATCAAAAAAAATATTGCTATGAGAAATGTCCGAGATTTTACTCCCTGTATTTTTTTCTGGAATTTTTATATTTCAAGTCTTACATTTAATTCCTTAATCCATTTTGAGTTTATTCTTGTGTATGGTGTAAGAAAGTGATCTAAATTCATTTTTTTGCACATATCTGTCCAATTTTTCCAACACCATTTATTGAATAGACTGTCTTTACCACATTGTATGTTTTTGCCTCCTTTGCTGATATTAACTGACCATAAAGGCATAGTTTATTTCTGGGCTCTCTATTTTGTTCCATTGACCTAAATGTCTGTTTTTATGCCTAGTACCATGCTGTTTTGATTAATATGGCCTTGTAGTATAGTTTGAATCAGATAGCATGACTTTTCCAACTTTGATCTTCTTTCTCAAGATTGCTGTGGTACCTACCTGGTTTAAGTCTTTTCCTCAACTCTATGCTCCAATATTTTGTTTGTAACATCAGTAGCTGAAAATCTGTAGTGAAAACCAAACAAAACTTTTTATCTTTTCACACAGGAAAAGGATAACAAGCCTAAAGGAAAGGAGCATGTACAAAACTTTAAAACACAAATTAACATTTATTGACTGCTTTCTGGTAAGTGCTTTGAGAAATATGAAGAACCCTCCAGAAATGCTAGCCTTAGAGTTATGGAAGTATTTGCACAAAAACATTCTATTATCCCAGTAAATATATTTCACTTTAAAGACAAACAACTCTATAACCTGAACACACTGATCAATCTTAGATTTTAAGAGTCAAAATAATTGATTTTGTGACGTGAAATTAAGTATCCAGCATCATCTATGGCATATTTGGGAGAGGGGAAATTTGATCTGAATCTAAGCAATCCTTTAGATCTAACTTCCATTTAGTCCTAGCAGCCAAACTTGCTAAAATAATCTTGTATTATTTCTAATTATTGAGTAATAGTCTCTTGAGGTTTTTCTTATATTGTCTGCAAATATTTGATTTCTGCCATTCTCAAACATCATGAGACTAATTTAATCCTCTTATTGCAGAGGCTAGGATTTCCAACACAATATTAGATAAAGAGTGGTGAAAATAGCCCAGCTGATAGGGTCAAGTGATTGATTGTTGACCTCTGATCCAGGAAATCAAGGTTTGATACCCCGGGTTGCATAGGGGGCGTGCAGGAAGCAACTGATCAATGATTCTCTCTCATCATTGATGTTTCTATCTCTCCTTCTCCCTCTCTGAAATCAATAAAAATATATTTTTTAAAAAGCTTAGCATGCTTCAAAATGAGTCATTGGCTAGGGCCATATTTTAGAAAAAGAGTAGTGAAAATAAGTATACTTGCTCCATACCTCAATTAAAAAAAAATTCTAAGATTTCCTATTAGGATGTTGTTTGCTGTACACTTTTTGTTTTTAAACAGAGACTTTTTATCACATTAAAGAATTTTATTTCCAATCTTAATATACTATGAATTCTTTCTTTATTTCAGTTTTGAGGTAAAACTGACATATAAAATATTTAAAGCATACATCACGGTTATTTGATATACATATACACTGTGAAAAGATTCCTCCTATCTAGTTAATTAACACATATAATCTAGATGAAACTGACAAATGCCAAGAATCACATAAACCACCAAAACTTACTTGAGAAGAAACAGAAAATCAAAATAGACTTATAACAGATTTAATTAGTAATAAAAAAGTCTCCCAACAAAGAAAATCCAGGACTAGCTGGCTTCACTGGTAAATTCTATCAAACATTTAAAAAATAATTAACACCAATTCTTTTCAAAGTCTTCTAATAGATAGAAGAGGGAACACTTCTTAACTCATTCTATGAAGCCAATATTACTGATACCAAAGCCAGAAAAAGTCATCACAAGAAAACTACAAACTAATATCTTGTATGTACATAAGTGCTGAAATTCTCAACAAAATACTAGTAAACCAAACCCAGCCATATATCAAAACAATTTACACCATGACCAAGTGGGATTTACCTGAGAAATAAACTAATTAGATTTATTTGATACAAATGCTCACCTACCTCACTAGTAGTGTCAAATTTAAGAATCTAGATTAAGTTCTCGCTTTGATCATTCTATCAACACTGACTATTCTTACATCTAATAGAAAAGGTAAATATCTTGGTATTAGCTACTAAAAACTTGTTTTTAAAGCACATGCTATGTTCATAAAATTCAATAGGACCAATAAAACAAATTTTGATTCTACTTCACAATTTTGCTTAGGACCAAATCTTTAATAAGAATGTCACCAATGTATAAGTCTATTAATTAATTATATATAAATTTCCCAAATTATCTCAGTATAAAATAACGCTGATTGATCAAAAATCAGGATCAAAATATATGCAAAGACTCTGTGAAGTGGGGCAAAATAGAACTGTAGTAAAGAAAGAAATTTCAAAGACTGAAAGAAGCTACCCTTAAGTGGATCGTGGAAGAAGTCACATGAATTGTAATGGACAGCAGAATAAACATTTTACAGCAATATAATGATGACTAATCCAACAGTAAAAGTAAGAATTTAACCTTTATTTAATCTATCTGCTGGGAGCTGAGCAAGATGTTTCATCTTTCCCCAAAATCCTATGGCATTAAGCTTTTAAAAAGGCAACATTTATACTTAATATGTATGAATTATAATAAAACTAACACGATCACTTCATGGTATAATGCCATTAGAGAAAAATTTAGCAATATATTATAAAAAACAAAGATGTGGTGTTCTAAAATAAAACAAACAAACAAAAAAACCCTACATGAGACGCCAGTTCACACCCAGTGAGTGCCTAGGATGTGAGACTCTCATATATTGCTGGAGTGAAAGGTTAAAAACGTCACTAGTTTCTCATAATGTTAAACATTCAGTAACCACATGATCCAGAAATTCCAAGAAAAATAAAAACATATTTCCACAAAAGAGCAAAAGACCAATGTTTATAGCAACATTATTCCTAACAGCCCGACACTGGAAACATCCCAAATATCTACCACCAGCTGAATGGATAACTTGTGGTATATTCACACAATGGAAATACTACTTAGCAATAAAATGGAACAAACTACTGATACATGTAGTAAGATGGATGGGTCATAAAGTAATTTATTATGCAAAATAATTCAGATCTAAAACAGATAAATTATATGTTTACATTTATACGAAGTTGAAATCCAGGCAAAACTACTTATAATAGAAATCAGAAGAGTGGTTATCTCTGGTGGGAACAAGGGCTGATAACCTTCTGAGAGGGCATAAATGTTCTATGGGGTGGTAATTACATGGATATACGTATTTGTTAGAACTCATCAATCTGTATGTTTAAAATGGGTGCACTTTATTATATGTAAATTATTAAGAATATTGAAACCTTTTTAAATTTAGATGATGAGTTCTCACTGGCATAGCACACTGTAGGTACTCAATCAATACAGAAGGATAGAAGGAAGTGGGATAGGTAAGTAAACTGTTTTACAATCATGGCCAAATACATATTCTGTACTACCTACCCTAAAAGAAATTATGATCTAGGTCAGAATATGATATATAACCTTTGAACCAGTCACACCCCATACTAGGGATAGAGCTTGCAAACTGGGCATTTGTCCCGACTGGGAATTGAACCTTGACCTCCTGGTTCATAGGTCGATGAGCAACCACTGAGCCACTGCTGGTCGGGCCCAGTTCATTATCTTTAATAGCTACTTTGGGTGCCACAGCAGCTTTTGCACTATGCTGCCTCAGAGGGCTCCACTCTCAATTTTTGAATCTTCCTGTGTTGCTTATTCTCCATTTTTACCCTTCCCCTAGGTTGTGTTCAATGACTTGACATGCTGAATTTTTCCTGCTTTTCCAGCCATGCTCACCTGAGACAATGGACTTCAGTGCCACAGCCATTAACCAACTCTATCCTTTCATATGCTTGGCCTGCAAAACTAAGAATGTAACCTCTGAAAAACCTTGGGCCTTCCAATTCACCAGAGTAACGAGACTCTAAAATGTGAAAATTAAATATTAAAAGTAGCAACAGAAGATAGTATATCAATAGTTGGCAAATTAATTCAAACAGGAATTATTACAGGCTCCAAAGGAGCAGGAAATAAAGGCTGCATCTAAGCTAGGCTTGCTACAAATAGGAAAGAGGAACAATTGCCAGCCAGGTGGAGAGACTTAAGCAAAAGAAAATAGGAAAGTGATGATATTACAGAAGAACAAATATATCCGTTTGTCTAGATTCTAGAATAAGAAAATTATATTTGTGTTTGTATGAGGTAATCTGAAAAAGTCAATTCTCATTTGACAATCACAAAAAATTGCTAGGTACAGTGAGCAGATATTGTCTGCATTTATACGTGAAGAAATTATAGCATAGAAAGGGTAATACTTACCCAAGGTCCTTAAACTATTTAGAAGTAGAGCCCATGCTGAATGAATTATTTCTGATTCACAGCTAAATGTTCATTTAATTAGTTCATTCTTTTTTTAAAAATATATTTTATTGATTTTTTACAGAGAGGAAGGGAGAGGGATAGAGAGTCAGAAACATCGATCAGCTGCCTCCTGCACATTCCCTACTGGGGATGTGCCCGGAACCAAGGTACATGCCCTTGACCGGAATCGAACCTGGGACCCTTAAGTCCGCAGGTCTACACTCTATCCACTGAGACAAACCAGCTAGGGCTAATTAGTTCATTCTACTCAGTGTTCTCCTACTTTGCTAAATAGAACTCTTTAACCAAACTTCTCACCACAAATATTCTTCTTGAATGTACACTTTTTACCTGAAGCACATTTCAACACATACTTTAACATAAACCTTATTCCAGTGGTTCTCAACCTTCCTAATGCTGCTCGACCCTTTAATACAGTTCCTCAAGTTGTGGTGGCCCCCAGTTTCACTGTTACAAATTGAACATAATTAAAGGACAGAGATTCATCACAAAACAATATGTAATTATATGTGTGTTTTCCAATGGTCTTAGGCGACCCCTGTGAAAGGGTCGTTAGATCCCCAAAGGGGTCGCGACCCACAGGTTGAGAACCGCTGCCTTATTCTCTTACCAACATATGAGCAGGTTTCTATACTTAACAGGACACAGATAGAGGACCAAGTCCTTGATCCTATGGCTATTAAAAGATTTGAGTTCCAATAACAATTTTTTAAAAATTAATCTTGGGTTACAGATTAGAAAGTTACTAACACTATCTAGTAAAACAGACTCTGCTTTTCATAGCTTGGCATTATCACGTGCAGTGCAGGCAAGGGTGTGCCTAAAAGCATAGGGATAGCGAGATTACTGTCCTTCCTCATTATAGTAAATAAGGAAGGTAATTCATCTTTCAATAGAACAAAATATGGGCTTCATTTTTTTATTTTCTTCAATAGAAACATGTTTAAATCCTTCCCATATCCCCCAAAGTTCCAAAGACCCAATCTTCCCTTCCTATCATTGTAATTCCCTACAGTGGCAGATTTTTTGCAAAAGTACGTACACTCAATATGTTTCCACATCAAGCCTACCATTACCTAGTACAGTACTTACCTTATCAGTATAATGAATTTCTCACTAAGGAAACCAATGACATCTAAAACAACCAGAATGAATCAAGTCTAAGAGTTTTTGGATTCTTGAGGATAGAGGGGAGTTTACCACAATTACAGCACTTACTGTGCTCTCACTCTGTGCCAGGCACTGCATTAATAAGAATGTTTCATTTAATCATCGCATCTGAGAAGTTATTTATCATCCCTTTTCATAAATTAAAATTGAGACTCAAAATTACCCAAATCCATATGGTTAGTGAAGCCTACATAATCCCAATGTTTTCAATTCTGTGATTTTTAAATATATATGTAATATCTATATCTATCTATCTATCTATCTACCTATCTATCGATCTATCTACCTACCTACCTATCTATTTTATTGACCTCAGAGAGGAAGGGAGAGGGAGAAATAGAAATGTCAATGATGAGAGAGAATCATTGATTGGCTGCCTCCCGCATACCCTCCAAAGGGGATCAAGCCTGCAACCTAGGCATGTGCCCTGACCCAGAAGGGAACCATAGGTTGACACCCAACCACTAAACCACACCGGCTGGGCTTCTGTGACTTTTGACAGTGGTTTTGTTCCCAGTTCTCTTCCTAACTCTGTGGCATTTTCTCCGTCTCACTGTTTCCTCACCCTCTGCTCATCACTACTTCTCTTACTTCACAAGCTCCCCCGAGGCAATTCCATTTCCTCCCAGGACTGTAACTACACACTATATTAGTGTTTCTCAACCTTTCAACGTTTTTTTATAAACATTAAAATCTTGCTCTCTCTGTAGTTTGCATTTTGAAAATAGGTTTTTCCCAAACAGAAATGCTACTAGTAATGTTGGATATTTGTCCAAACTACACCTCCTCCTGCCTCTCAAGATCTGCTAACCCCTACAGCTGAGAATTGGTGATTGGTCTCGTTCTGCCACGACTGAGAACTAGTGACTGGTCTGTGTGATGTCCCTCAAACCGATCAATCTTCCCTTTCTTTATCGCACCCACCCTCAGACATCTTTCCTGAGTTACAGACAAGTATTACCAACTGTCTAAAAACACAGTTCCACGGCTGTCTCCCCAGGCCCTTCGATTTAAAGCCATCCGAAAACAACAACAACAAATCTCTCTAATCAAACCTGAACCATCTCTTTTTGTTGTCCATTTTGGCCTAAAGGTATCCCAATCCACCCTTGTCTATGCTTTCAGGTACCTATTTTCGAAACGGTTTTATTAGCACTAACTTCTCTGAACTATTAGGACAAAAATCAACATTAAACAATGAGTGCCTCTCATGGCCAGGGGGTAAGAAATGCAAAGTGGTACTCTTCATCCTTGAGTGTGCAAGCAGAAACATACCCAAGCCAGTATTTTTTTGTGTGTGTGAAGCGTTTTCCCATCTACAAAACAAAACTGAAATACTTTACAAAACATTTTAATTTAACCCGTATTATAATCCCATTATTATCCCCATTTTATAGATGAAAGAACTGAGGCTCAAGGGGATTAGGTAATTTAACCAAAGTTTTACAAGCTGGTAAGTGTCCAGTCCAGACCCCAAACCCAAGATTTGAGATGACCAATTCCGCTCTGGGACATACACTTCCCCACCATGAGACAGGTCTGTGCAAACCGGAGCAGCACACGGGGTCAAGTGCAAGTGGGGCGCTGCAGGCGGGGGCCTCCCTGGCCCGACCCTCCCTCCAACGCCCGCCGCCGCCAGCACCTAGCAAGTCCCTCCGCGGCCTGCGTCCAGCCCGCAGGGTCTGCGGCGATCGATCGCGGGAAACCCATGCTCTCCGACTCCAGGAGCGCTGAGCAG